AATAGTATGCTTTCAGATAAGAAAAAGAAAAAATGGGGTCACGGGACCCGTTTTCTTGCTACATAATAAAAAAGGTAAATTTCGAACACATTCTATTGTAAAAGTAACTTTATCTGAATTATCTGCCCTTACATTTGAGTTGCCTCCCCTTATGTGGCAAAGTTGGAAAAAATAGAATCAAACAAAAGTATTCTGTTTTTTTGTAAAATACAACCATAAATATGATAAAATATGTCATTTTCTATATAGAAATGAAAATTCTTACACATGAATTACCTACTTCTCTCAAAATTTGCACCTTTTATTAAAGATCTAGACCGATTGTTTTCTGGTATTTCAAAATCCAAGATGGAGGAAGACACCCTATCTACCTTAACAGTAAAAGTAATATTAATAAATAAAATAATAATTGTGGTTCAAAGTATGACGGGATACACAAGTACAGAGTCACGTCAAATGTATATCACAAAAAACAGACTTAACAGTAAAAGTAATATTAATAAATAAAATAATTTTGTCGTTCAAAGTATGATGGGATACATAAGTACAGAGTCACATCAAATGGATATCTCAAAAAACAGACTTAACAGTAAAAGTAATATTAATAAAGACAAATAAAAGAATATTATAACACGTTCTTAAGATGATAAACAACGTCAATACGCAGAATCTATACTTAAAGACCATTGTGTATTATTTGTGAAGTTGATACGGAATATTTATCAACAAGGTCTTGGTACCTTCCGATGAACTTTTTTAGAATACCCCTGGTTCATCAAATTTCTGGTCAGACACTGGTGACGTTTAACAAAGTCTGAGTAAGAGCTGCAAGCTCTTGAATACCGAATAAGTTGGGAAATATATATCTCATATGCAGGTGAAGTTGGTATATTGCTACTAAGGTGGGGGAAATTGATAATTTTAAAATTAAAATCGTCTCGTTTGTCATAGATTCTGGTACTGAGATGACTGTGTATGTCAAATTCGAGGTAAAAGTCTAAAAATGAGGCGGAGGAAGCCGTGTCTGTTGTTTCTTTAATTTCTAGTTCTGGTGGATATATTAATTTAAACCCAATCAGAAAAGTTCGGATTGTTAATGGAAAGAACATCATCAATATATCTGAAAGTGAAATTAATTAACCTTGCTTCTTTGATCTTCTTGTTTTTGACAAGTGTCTGAAGGAACTCCGATTCATATGAAAATAAGAAGAAGTCGGCAAGGGGAGGCGCACAGTTCGTTCCCATAGGAATGCCGACAATTTGTTGAAAAAGTCTGCCTCCAAATTCAACAAATATGTTGTCAGTAAGAAACTCCAGCAATCTGATCACTTGTTCCTCTGTGTAGCATGTTTTACCCTTTTGTTCACTATTAATAAAATATGCCTTATGGTACCCCAAAGTAATAAATTTATAGCGTATGCTACCATTTTTATATTGAAAAGCATTGTGGATTATTTCTTTTAGACGGTTTTTCAATTTCACATGGGGAATGGTGGTATACAAGGTTGAAAAATCAAATGTTTTGATAGAACTAATTTAAGAAAAAGACCGAGATTTCAAATTATCGAGAAGTTCTTTAGAGTGTTTAAGAATCCACATTTGGTTAATACCACTACGCGAGTACACAGTTTCACAGTATTTCTGAAGACCTTCTTTCACTGCGGACAGAATTTTAGTCAATCTAATGGACAATTCTTTAGTGGAACATGCAGATGAGCCGGCAATGTACCGTTGTTTGTACGGAATTTTGTGAAGTTTAGGTATCCAATACAAACAAGGTAAGTCCTCCGATTTGTTGTTCAATGCAATGTTCATTGAACCCATGAAGGACTTATGATTCGCCAAAATCTCATCCTTGTCAAATGATATGTTTTTGTATGTGGGATTACCTGAGTGCTCGTTTATTCCCAATTCATTTACCAGACACTCGTAGTAATACGATTTACATACAAAGACAAAATTATTTTAAACTTTGTCCGCAGGAACAACAACATATTTATCATGAAGAGATGATACACATCTCACAGCCTCTTTGTCTCTGAAAACGGACTTTGGTCGATCATTCACACAGTTTTTCAACTTATGAATGCGACGTTTTATCAGAGACCTGATTGTTTTGACCCATTCTGACAAAGTGTCCAGTTGAACCTCTTCTCGTTTAGCCCATGCTCTGGCGTAGTCCTCAATGGAATCCATAATTATTTTGAAATTATGGTTCCAATTGATGTGTTGGGGTTCTCTAAACTTAGGACCATGAGAAATCACCTTTCGGAGATTTTCATGTTGAATTATGTTTAGATCCCCAGTAATAACATGGCCAGAGGGGCTGTAATTGTAAGGCGAGTGGGAACAGTCACATGTCAGAGGTTTGTTTTAGGTATTGTTCTAAATCAAGGTCCTGTAATGCTTGTTTATAGTTAAATATTTTGGGTGCAATGGTTTTGGTGTAACTGTAGGATACAATAGGAACAGACTGATTATGAAAATAAATAGGAATTTTAGATGTTACCTCCTTGTGATTTAGAACGTTGCTGATGTTGATTGCATAAAATCCAATATTGTTTCTTCTTTTCCTCATGTCAAGGTTCCGATCTTACTGGTTTAAAAAACCAGAAAAGAGCTACATCACAAATTATACTGACAAGTCTGTATATTGGAGGAAATGTATTTATGCATCCTCTGTCAAGTGCATAATCTCTCAAACATTTTAGAAAATTAACAGGCAGTGAAAAAAGAATAGTTCTAATGTAATGTAACCCTAGCGGATGATGAAGATGAGAAAGAAGGTCATCAAAGCTCCCAGAGAGCGATCTGGATTTGGAAGACTTTTTTACATTAGGCCGATGGTAATGTTTTTGCCCATGACTACGTTGGTTACGTAAGATAGTGTTAAATAAACTCATTACATTAACATCACTGCAGGCTGGACTTGACAAATTTCCTACTCCTTTGACATTATCATTGCAACCATATGGCATTGCAGTACCTAGCTCCCTTATTCAGATATTTTCTCTATCTTTTCGGAAAGGAGTTCTAAGTACAGGGCTATTTTGTGTGGTGATAAATTTTCTCGATGATGCGTACTTTCATAGATAAAGAAGGATCATGGTCCGGTTGATTAAAATGGTTATAAAGGACCCTGAACTGCGGATCTTTATTATCAGACCGGTGTTGATTCATCCTTTTACGCAAAGTTTTGTCGAGTTTCACCAACATAAAGTAGTCCACACAAAGTACATTCAATTCTGTACACGACATTGTCCGTGGAACAGTCCAGAGGCTCGAAAGATTTAGTATAATAAGTTTTTCCTGTTAAATTACTGGTAAAATCAGGAATCGTGATCAACATATAACATGTCTTACACGTGCTCCTTTTTCATTTTTTGAGTTTACAAGAAGAAATGATAGATGTTAATTCCTCTTATTGGCTGAGGAATTTACTATCAAGTCGACAGACTAGGCTGTGAATCTACTGAATATTTATTTTCATGATTTGATAGACATCCTGTCAGCTTTAATATTTTAGTATTACGTTCAGAAGGTTTATGACAGAGCAAATTGAAATGTAAATTACAAACCAGAATTGACAGAAAGGTTTGAAAAAGGTATCAAAAGAGGAAGGGTTTGGCGCCAACAAACTAGTTTTATCCCGCTACATTCTGTATGTGCCTGTTCTAAGTCAGGAGCCTGTAATTCAGTGGTTGTCGTTTGTTTCTATGGAACATATTTGTTTTTCGTTCATTATTTTGTGCATAAGTTAGGCCGTTAGTTTTCTCGTTTGAATTGTTTTACATTTGTTATTTCTGGGCCTCTTATAGCTAGCTATGCGGTATGGGCTTTGCTCATTGCCGAAGGCTGTAAGGGCGGTATGGGCTTTGCTCATTGTTGAAGGCCGTAGGGAGATCTATAGTTGTTAATTTCTGTGTTATTTGTTTTCTCGTGGAGAGTTAGCTCATTGGCAATCATACCACATCTTCTTTTTATGTCAACAAAAAATAACAATCTTCCAAGATACATTCAAAAAGGGTAAGTTCATTTAAACGGACACTACCAACCGTAAGACTTATCACCCAACGATACGAATGGAAAGCAACTGTCATAATCCTGACTTGGAACAGGCATTGTTCTAAAAAAATGGTGGATCAAACCAGGTTTTAAAACTAGCTAAAACTCCAACTTGTAAGAGAGTTGTTCATGTTGTTTATAGTTCCGTTTTATTGATAAAATTAGGTGAGCAAGCCAAACATACATAATAGGTTAATGTGACAATAATTTGTCCCAAAAAGAAACATTTATTCGTACAGTTTATTCTTTAGTTCTTTATGTATTTTTAATAATGTTTTTATTAAAGTAAGGTTTGTCTTTTCGACATATTGCCTTGAGGGCCTGACATTTACCATTTTTTTCGATTAGTTTGTATTGTCCCTATGGTATAATGTTCCTCTTTCTTCAACGATTTTCTTTGTTTATGTCAAACAGAAATTAAATAATATGTATCTTAAAAGCTTACAAAATGTTCGTGGAAATGGTCGACACAAGTCTAAACATAACACATTCTTCATTTTGATCGTTTGTCTGTTGTTTTGGTTAGTTGATTGTTACTCAGGCTGTATCATGGCCGTCACCTTGTAAAGATTATATATGATGGACAACCTAAAGAGATATACTGAAGAAAAATGTCTATTGTCGAACATACCACATGCTTACATGCAATGAACGGTTTGAAACAAACAGCTACATGATTAACAGGCATATGATAACAGAATTTCTTAGTCCACTCGGTAATCGAATTACCTAGCAATGTGATATAACCAAATGTTACAAAATGCATTAAGAGATGTCATACTTACCTAGAGCAATTTATCTTCCAAGTAGCGTACTTTTATGTTTACTATTTATCTGATAGAGAATTCACAATAATATCCATCGTGATTACAAAATTCAAAACGTCATGTATAACATCAATAATATATTTGTATATATTTTCTGAACGTCATTAATTCTATTCTATAATCTTTATTGCTATCATTATTCACATGTTAAGTCCTCCTTTGGCATTTGACACAGAATGGATCTGCAAATGTCATGTCCACTATTGCTTCATCAAATCATATTCTTTTCAATTAGCTTTGAACTGCCGCTCCTTCAAATATTTTAATATGCATATTAAGAATAAATCATTTCCTTTTTTTTTAATTTTCTAAGTGACGAAATGTCAATACAGTGGATCAAAAATGATAATAACACATATTCCATGCATAAAAAATGCTTTTACGATGTAATTGCTGTTATTTGACATCATTGGCATGATTATTAATGTTTTTGTTTATCAATATCTATGTTTTGAATATTGAGATTCGGTAAAAACCTTTAAATTATTAAATGAATGGAAATTTGTTTTGAAGCGTTTCATTTAAAAGCATAATTCATATGATGAATAAAGTAAATCATCTTTCCCGATTAAAGTAAAGCCAGAAAAGGGAATCGAAAGAAATCAATTTTTCAATATTTATGTCATTTATCAAAACAACAGAATATTGCAAATTTACCTTCAATATGCATGGATATAAATAATAGAATTTGTATGCACATTTGTCATTTCAAACTGAATCATTAAGTCAAATACATTTGATTGACAATGAAGTGTAAGCTAATTCCAGCATTTATGACTCAAGTAGATCTTGCATTGAGATATAAATAACTAGGTTACATCTAAACACCGTGAACCCATCCCGAAATGAACATATACCTTTCCTAAGTAAAGAACATTGTTGGTGATTATATATTTTCAAATAATACTTAGTGCTTGATTGTTGATTGCAGATTCCTTATAGTATTTGTTAACCGAAGATACCAAGGGGACATTGAAAACCCGTAAGTCGAAAAGAAACCAAAAACACCATGGCAAAAAAAATGACGACGGAAAGATACATCAGTCTACAAAAACAGTACACAGAAAACCAAGACCGATCAACACGAGCCCCACCATAACTGGTAGTAATATCTGCATCTGGTGCAGTGAAATTGATGACATTAATGGTTTAACAACATAATTTTATCATGAGACCGTAACGTCATCAACGTTTGTTTATGATTTACTCCTTAAAATTAGAATTATTCAGTGTGCACTACATTTTTGATGTCCTTTCGTCATAGACAGACAGTTATTACAGTCATTCCTTAAATTACACATTAGCGGAATGTATAAATATCAATCTACGCCAAAGGATATTCCCAAAAATGGATTAAACAGTAAAGGTTAAAAGTATACAAAGACAAATAAAAAGAGCACTTTAACACGTTTTTGAAATGATAAACAACGTCAGTACATAGAATCTATACTTAAAGACCATCATGTATTATTGGTGAAGTTGATACGGAATAAAAACATGGTCTTGGTATCTTCCAATGATATGATAAGCGAGCAATGAAGAAGAATCCAAAGTTAAAACAGAGGAATGTATACTGCAAATGAGTAGTAGTGATTAAAAACCCAAAGTCAGATATCAACAAATTTCGAAAATTGTCAAAGTATCAAACAAAACATAGTACTGTTCACAACATTACGTCAAGGGAAAATAAATTTAACTGAGATGTCTGTTAAATAGTTTGATTTAGAATATTTTGAGTCCATACGAAAACGTAAACGACAGACTGGTAAAGGAAACGATTTCAGAAAAGCAGATCCCTTTAACATAGAAAATTTTTATCAAACGATTTGCTGGGCAAGTTATATAAGTTATATGATATGTTGGAAAATTATTGAACGTATCCAATGGTTTCTTTTTCGAAATGAATCACTTTCTAGTTTTCAGGAACTGCCCAAACTTACAGAAAGTAAACATATCTGCTAATATATATATAAAGCTTTATCATGATGAATATTTTAATTTTAGTGCAAAGCATTTTTTCAATGCTTGTGGTATATTTTTTCAAAGTAGTTAAATAAATTCTAACAATAAGCGAATGAATTTGTGAACAGATCGATTAAAACGTTTCAAATCAAGCTTAAAAGCCTGAAAAGTCAAATTGCGTGAATACCAAGAGAGAACGAGAGAGAGAGAGAGTGACCGGTGCATGTATAATCCACTATTTGAAACCAAGAAAGGAGTTGCTAGTGACGCTAATAATAAGTGGCAAACATACACTTCAAAATATATATTAAATCATGATAAAGCTATAAGTAGTTCGTACTGGATCAAGCATCTTAACATAAATCTATAAAGGTTAATGCCACAAGGGGAACAGGATGTGATTACGATTCCAGGGGATCTGATATTACTACCAGTTATGGTGGGGCTCGTGTTGATCGGTCTTGGTTTTCTGTGTACTGTTTTTGTAGACTGATGTATCTTTCCGTCGTCATTTTTTTTGCCATGGTGTTTTTGGTTTCTTTTCGACTTACGGGTTTTCAATGTCCCCTTGGTATCTTCGGACTTTTTTTTTAAAGTATACATTGTTGGGCCATAAACTGTAATAACAAAATTATATGATTTGCATTTATTCTAATGTCATAAAGTAGTGTACCTTTTGTATTCTGAGCAGCTAAGAATTGCAGATCCAGTTATTGTGCAAAAGTTATTTAAAACTTTTGAATTTGTTCATAAATCAGTGTATGGGTGAAAATACTCCTCCAGACATTGCTAAAACATGGCTGATGCACTATATTTTATAAAAATAGCGCAAGAAAACTAGATTTACAATTTCTAATCATTCATTAAGCAACAAAATGACGTATTATCGTCAGTTGAACATTATGACATTTAACCTCTTCAGATAAAATTTCTTTTGATTCTGATATTTCTATTTTATGATAATGTACTTTATTTCATGTTATTACATGACTGATGCGTGATTGTTGAAAACAACTTAGCAGAAAATCTAAACATTTGAGAATGCAAAATATGCCTACAAAATCATTTGTAAGACTAACGATTGTCGTTTTTAAGACAATTTTGTCGATTTTGTAATTTTTTTTAATCGCTGACATTAATTTGAATGCATGTTCTTGTGCTGTATATGTCCATGTTCTGTGTACAAAATAATACATTGATTACAGAAAAAAAACCACTGTGTCTTCAACGTTTCTAATGCATGCACAATTCTTTAGTATTTTTGATGGTCAAAATTTGGGATGGGAAGAGCATTTTTTGTCATGAACAGGTGTACAAAAATTGAAATTAACTTGGCATAGCAGTTTAAGTCTATCGTAGAGAAAGGTATTAACGTTTTCGTACTGATTTGGCCTTCAAATTCCGATGTCACTGCTGTTGGTCGTTTCATCCCGAGCATATAATTAGCCCAGTAGTCAGTACTTTTGTTGACATGAAATATCAAAAATTTGTGAATTTACTGTTTAAGAAATATTTAATAATTCAAAGCACAAAGATTTTCCTTACTAATGCCTAGATTTCCTTTGCAGTTTTTTGCTATCAACTTTTCAAAATTTTCTGCAGCATATATAATCCGGCCTTCCAATTGCTTTGATTCGAGGATTAATGAGGGGTTTTTTGTAGATATAGCAAGCGTCTGACATAAAGGTTTATAAGCCTGGCATGTGTGATAAGATTTCCCACTATTATTTAAGAAAAAATAACGATACTGCTGATACTATACTTACAAAGAAATTGATATTATGATAAAAAATGCTCTTAATAATTTTCTTATATCAACGTGTAAAAAATCTAAAATTTGCAAATGTAGCATAGAAGAGTACACAATAATTCAATTATAATTGATCAACTGTACAAACATCTTTCCTATGGCTGTGTAGCATTCTCTTTGCTTATAGTCTATATGAGATCTAGAATGATAACAAAGGAAGATGTATGATAAGAGTTATCATTGGGATATGAAATTGCAAAAATAGTAAAGCAGAAGGTATCATAAGGCATTTTCAGCCTCTGAATTCGAAAATCTAAAAGTATTATAAATCTACAAACTGACCTCCCTCTGATGTTCATGATATTTCTCTGTCGGTATTTAATATTTTTAGTTTTGAGTTTTGTCTCACGTATTGGTATCGGGGCTTCACACTTCTTACATTAATTCTATAACAGGAAACACTGCCAAAATAGTCTTATGTTGAACTCTAGTCATTGATGTTTAGTTATGAACAACATCTTTATTGTAAGTATATTGAGCTACAAATGATTTTTTACAGAGATAAATGTTTGTGTAAAATATGCTCAGGTAAAGCTGTTGCTCATATATGTTTTGACCATGAAGGAAGTTACTTTTGTGTGTAAAATATGTATATCTTGAAATGTTTATGAAGTCAAAGTGATATCACAAGTGACCAATCTTAACCTTAGTGCACAGATTATATTTACCTGTTCGTTTATCAATCAAATTAACATCAAGTAGAAAGGGTTGAATAAGTTTGCTATTTTTGCCATAAACAAATGATAAAATGACCCTTATTTTATCCTGTAATCAGGTGGTCCTTTCTAAAGTGAGGTTTTGAAAGGCTACATTTGTATCGCTTAGGTAGTGTTTTTATTAGCTAAGTAATTGATGACATATGTTTTTGACATATGGATCACAATCGTGATAAAGCAAAAAAAGTGGACATGTAAATCATGTATATAGAACCAGAAAAAAAACCAAAATCCTTCTTTTCTTTTAAAGGTTTTTATTTCAGACAATTCAAACTACGTTTTTTAATTTATTTTTCTTTGCATGAACAGCAATCATGACATATAATATGCGATAAAATGCATTCTTTCATGAGCTTTTATTAACCATTATTATCAGATACTGTTCATTCATGTTGGAAAATCTACCAAATAGGCAAACACTTTTTAGAGAAGTTGAACGCGGAATCAAATTTATGTAAACCTTGCCAACTTTGCCATGCACTTTTCAATAATACATGTGTAGTAGAAGTTGGCATAATCAGCTGAGTTTTGGCTATGCATCTTACAACCAAAGATAGGACTTATAAAAATAGGCCGTCGGTATACAAGCATTTGTAGATGACTTTACAGGAAAGTTTATCTGAATCAAATGGAGTCGATCTTCTTTGTTAGATGTTTTTATGCCATTTAAAATAAGCCAAAGACGAACCACCAGTCACAGTATCAAACAGTACACTGGATGACTGACAATTCACAGATCAGTAGTATAACCTCATATAACTCTTTCCAGTAATTCTAAACTAATAATTTGAAGCAGGTTATTTACCTTAACTTTTCTGAGAAGTATATAATAATAATCAACAGAAGCCGTACTCACCAAGCACAGTGGTCCAGTAGTTGGGTTATAGTTCTGACAGAGAATTAGTTTGACTGTCTCTCTGGTATCTTTCATCCCTCTTTTTAAACACATATATCCATCTTGATTTCACTATTATCTATATTATATATAGCTCTGTACATGTTACTATCATTATTAATGTGTTAAATCCTACACTGTTATTTGGTTCAAAATATATCTGAAAATGTTATGTCAATTATTGTTCTAAATAATTATCATAATTATTTCAATTTCTGTTCATCTATCACGATTCAAAGAGCTCAAATTGTGCGTATCAAAAGTAGATTTAAATATGTTCATGCATACACTTCTTTTAATATATAATCCGATAAAAATGATTCAAAGTTCACATAGAAAATAACGTCAAAATGTGCTCCAAAAAGAATATATTTTCCAAATATTTTTCAACTATTACATTTAAAAAGACTATATGGTAACCTTTAACTGTTCACAGTTATGACCTCTATTGAACACTCATCTCATTGGAAATCATACATTATATATTCCTATTCAAACAAGAATGATAAGTCAATATGATTTGAGAAATGTATGTAAAAAAATGTTAACAACCAGTTTTCAACTGATAATTTGTTTTACTTTTCTTTATTCCAAAAGCATGATAAGGGAAGTAATGAAAATACGGCTCATTAAAAGTTAGCATGAAAAGTCATTCCATTATATAACATTTCATTTCATCATGAAAACGTTCAACGTTCCCATGAGCCAGACGATTATGTTTTATTACCACATTATCTATAACAATCAGTATAAATATTTCAGCTTGTGCAGATGATTATTTATTATCGTCATCACTTACATCCTGTGCTGATATTTGTTAAAAATACATAATTATGAAAAAGTAGTATAAACTAAGGTTATAAAAATAAGATTCTTTTCTGTAGTTCATTTCAATCTTTTGAAAATATTAATTCGTGTGAAAAGTACATTGTTTTCTCTTCAGTTCTCACCACTTTTGCGAACCATTATTGTATTAGTATACTTCCAGACAGAGGAAATACTTCGTACTCAATAGTAATTTCAAAATTAGGCTATATATGTTCATTATTTGTTTTAACTTTAACTTTAAATAAAACTATATAGTGACTTTTAAGTGTTCACAGTTATGATCTCTATTGGATTATTATCTCATTAGCAATCATACTCTGTATATTTCTATTAAAATAACATGATAAGCCAATATGAATTGAGACATGTATGTAAACGAAAGATAACAACACGTTTTAAATTTTATAGTTTGTTTTTACTTTTCTGAATTCGAAAAACGTGCTAAAGGAAGTAATAAAAGACTGCTGATTAAAAGTTAGCATGAAAAGTCATTCCATTATATAACATCCCTTTTCATCATGAAATGTTTCAAAGTTCCCATGAGCCAGACGACTATGTTTTATTACCACATTATCTATAACAATCAGTAAACATATTTCAGCTTCTGCAGATGATTATTTATCATCGTCATCGTAATCGTATCATCGTGTTCTGATATTAGATTAACTGTTTATTCATTTTAGATTATATACTTATGACGTGGATCAGTACCTATACATCCCGCCATAGTGTTATTGTGTTAGTGTCTTTCATGTTTGCTTATGTACTTTGTCTATATGCCATTTTGTGCTTCTTTGTTGAAACTGTTATTTGTTTTTATAGTGATAAAGATTATATTACAATGTTGACTGCTGTACCCCCTATTTTCTATGTGTTACCTATTATGTCTTTTCCTCTAACTCATACATTGTCGATATAATGGAATTCTATGATACTGTCAAACAAGTGGGAGGTTTAGCTAGCTTTAAAACCAGGTTTAATCCATCATTTTCTATATACGGAAACGCCTGTACCAATTCAGGAATTTACCATTCGTTAGATGTGTTTGAGCCATTGATTTTTGTCATTTAACAAAGGACTTTCGGTTTTGGAATTCCCTTGGAGTTTGGTATTTTTGTTATGTTACTTTTTTTTTAAAATACATAATTATGAAAAAGTAGCGTAAATTTATGTTATAAAAATAAGATTCTTTACTGCAGTTTAATTCTATATTTCAAAAACGTAAATTTGTGTGCAATGTACATGTTTTACTTTTCTATTTACAAATCAACGATGTCAACATGACTGTTACAAATCATTGTTGAACACAAACATCAAGTGAAACTATTTTTATGTTTATTACAACATTATCTATAACTATCAGTATAATTATGCCACAGAGTATGTGTATGAATCTTTCATTACCCTCATTACTAATACTTTTCGTAGATTTGTGATTTAAAGTACATTTAAAAAGGGCAAATCCACTACTGTTTTGAAAGGTTTGAGAATAAATACTTGCATTCGTAAACAAATATATAGTCTAACATCCTGTGTTGATATTTGTTAAAAATACATAATTATGAAAAAGTAGTATAAACTAATGTTATAAAAATAAGATTCTTCGCTGCAGTTCATTTCAATCTTTTAAAAATATAAATTCGTGTAAGAAGTTTATTGTTTTCTCTTTTTTATTTGCAAATGAACGATGTCAACCAGGCTGTTTACAAATGAGTGAACTAAAAATAACGTTTAGCACATCACAAACATCAAGTGAAAATATTTTTATGTTTATTACAACATTATCTATAACGATCAGTATAGGTATACTACAGAATATGTTCATGACTCTTCAATTACCTTCATAACTAACAATTTCAGTAGATATGTAATTCAAAATGCAGTATAACTATGCTTCTGTAGATGTCTATAACTCTACCATTCATTACTAACATTGTTTGAAGATATGTGATTCAAAATGCATTTAAAAAGGGCAAATCAACTACTGTTTTGAATGTTAAAAAATTAAAAAATTTAATACATAGCAAATATATGATCTAACAACTCCAGTATGAATATTATTGAAGATAAGGAATTTGAACGCTATCGTAAATTTCTGAGCCTCTGACGAGATAAAAATCTAAGCCGTTATCTTTGATTTAGTTTTTTGCCTTTTATCTACGAACAAAATATATACTGCTGATACTATACTTACTTAAACAATATCTAAATTGATATAACCAAACATGTTTTAATTTGTCTCACTATTTTTAATATGTACTACTTTTGAGAAAGTATTTAGTATGACGATAAGTTTTCACTTCTGTTCTCGTACTATAAACAAAAAATTAATTTATTTAGTAAAAATATTTACGTACTCCGAACAACAAAATTAATATATTTTGTTTAACTGTGTACCTTATTTTATTGAACGCCATTTGTCCAATGTTAAATTTGTCTTTTTGACGTTATTGTTCATCTCCCCCTGTTTTTAAATAATATTGTATCTATATTGTGTTATAGATCAAATTTATTCGTTCATTGTATGTTTATTTGTTTTTGTTAATTTTTCTTTTTGATTGAGTTAAGTCATTTCAATTGATATTTTATAGTGTGTCTTTCTATGTTGTAATGTTAAACTACTGTGCCAGGTTAGGATGAAGGTTCACATCTGTTAAAACCCGCTGCATTTGTATGCACCTTTCCTAATTCAGGAACGTGTAGTTCAGTGGTTTTCGTTTGTTGATGTAGTTCAAAAGTGGGTCTCGTTTGTCGATTTTTTTATATAGATTAGACTATTTGTTTCCCTGTTTGAAAGGTTTTACACCGGTCATTTTGGGGCCCTTTATAGCTTGCTGTCCGATTTGAGCCTAGGCTCCGTGCTGAAGGTCGTTCTTTGACCTTTAATGGTTTACTTTATACACATTGTGACTTGGATGGAAAGTTGTCTCATTGGCGCTCATACCACATCTCCTTATTTCTGTATGCTATAATATGTACTCGTATATCCACGTGTCAAAATAATTTTCAGTAATATAACCTCATATAACCTTTCAAGAAACTATCAAATTATTATTTGAAGCAGGTTATTCCCCTTATCGAGAAACAGAACAGCTTCGATGGTAATTTTAAAATAAGATTATATTTGTTCATTTGTTTTAACTAAAACATTTAATAAGACTATATAGTGACTTTTGATTGTTCGCACTTATGATCTCTATTAGATAATCATCTCATTGGAAATCATACATTATATATACATATTCAAATAACACGATAAGTCAATATGATTTGCGACATGTCTGTAAAAAGTAAAATAACAAAAGTACAGAACTCCGAGGAAAATCTTAACGAAAAGTCCCTAAGCAAAATGGATGACGACTGTCAAATTCCTGACTTGGTACAGATATTTTCTTTTGTAGAAAATGGTGGTTTAAACCTAGTTATATAGCTAGCTATACCTGTCACTTGTATGACAGTCGCATACAATTCCATTATATTGAAAACGATGTGTGAACAAACAAAACAGACCTAATAGGTAAAAATTAAAAAAATAAGGGTAAAGCAGTTAATATTGTGTTATAATCTTAATAACTATAAAAACAAACAAATATGTCAACAAAGAAAGACAAAAAGTCATATTGACAAGGCACATTAGCAAAGACGAAAGACAACAATACAAAAATTTACCATAGCACAATAACACAATGACGGGATGTACAAGTACCGAGCCACGTCAAATAAATATTATTAGAAATAGACTAAGTGAAGCTGACAAGGAATAAATATCAAAAAAAGTAAAACCACAAAAAATACTGAACTCCGAGGAAAATTCAAAACAGAAAATCCCTAATCAAATGGCAGAATCAAAAGCTCAAACACATCAAACAAATGAATAACAACTGTCATATTCCTGACTTAGTACAGGCATTAACTTATGTAGACAAGGTCTTGGTATATACCGATGAACTTTTTAAGAAAAAGGACGAGACGTTCTTTGACATACCTTTGGTTTATCAACTCTCTGCTCCAACACTGGTGATGTTGAACAGTATTAGTAGCAGCTGCAAGCTCTTGAATATCGAATGAGTTGGGAAATGTATATCCAATACGCAGGTGAAGTTGGTACATTGGTACTAAGGTGGGGGAAATTGATAATTTAAAAATTAAAATCGTCTCGTTTGTCATAGATTCTGGTACTGAGACGACTTCTTATGTCAAGTTCGATGTATAAGTCTAACAAATGTTAACAACCATGTCTTAACTAATAGTTTGTTTTCCTTTTTTCAATT